AAAGGAGAGCGTATGCTGCCCCATCGGTTGCACCTGTCGCAAACACATGCATAGGCAAGTCAATTATTCACCTGCGAAAACAGGAGCGTATAGTTGAAGTCAAAATAGGGAAATGCATCGGTCATAATTCGTGTCACTGATGTGTTAAATTTGGAAATATCCTCCACCTATTGTTCCTATAACTTTAGGAAAGCATTACTCAGGCCTAAAGTGTTGCAACCCACTGATCAAACAATGTGCAAGCAATCTGTCTGGAAAGAGTATCTCCATTGTATCCCTTGGTGAAATGTAGACACCAGCGACTTTTGGAAAGGTGAAGTATTCCCACATGTCGTCCTATGTTTTTGGATATGTTTTGTGTGGATTTGGCTACGCTGAATCGTTATGCAAAGATCTAATTTTGTAACAGACGAGGTGGAATCACTGGTGTCCGTAATGTCAAGCTGAGGTTGGTAAATAATCGGAATGTTATTGGCAATTTGATTGTTATTAAATGACATCAGATCAATGAGATAACTAGGGCTTAAGTAAATTCCGATTCATTTGCATAAACAACAGATCAATAAAACAATGAACACAATTGGTGCCCAAGGGTTTGTCTACTTCTTGCCTAAATGTCTTTCCCGAAAACTTTAAATTGATGTTATCAATGAGGACGTCAAGCATTTCACATATTGCCTTCTCAGTAAACTTCAGATGGAATTTGCTTTCATTTTTTCACAAATTGACCTGAACCTCTTAAGATAGGTAACTGAATCTATGTTCACCATGTTTCTAAACTAAAACCTCAAAGAACAAGGAAGGAAGTTTTTACTTAAGTTTGTCATGTGAGATAGTGGTGAACCAAACTGAAAAATCAAACGTTTTGACAGAATTAAACCCTGATCTTTTCCGAGCTTGAAAAAAGTCAAGCAAACCCTTTGATTTTTTACAAATCCACAGATATTTAATCCACTTGTCTCGCTGAGACTGGGATTTAGTGGTACATTTACTGTACCCAGCAAAATATTTCTCTTTGTAGTGAATGAAAGATTGTTAAACGATGAGTCAACCCGGTAATCTAAGGATCCTCATGCATTTCTACCATAAACACCACGACCAACAAAAAATGACAACCTACCCGTCACCCCATAAAACACTCGTCTAAACTGAAATCTAAAATGTAAATAATGTGCCAACACACATGCGTCATAGAAAACGATATCACGAAGTACAAGTAAGGATATAAATTCCGACAGCAGTATTCTGGCATACAGTGGAAGACAAAACGGCGGCCGTCACATATACATGAAAAGGAACGTTAAAACCCCCAGCTTCTCCCACTACCAGCACGGAGGGTGATAGACATCGAACGATGTATCTTCAGTTTGAATTCAATCGCGCTCAACCTATCTGAGATATGACCTGTTTGTAAACTGTCTGGTAAAATAATTAAAATGATATAAGTTTGCTTACCAAAACATTTCACAGGAAAATTCTAAAGTCTCACAAACACTTCTTTAAGTTCACGTCAGTAGTTTTTCGTATGCAATAACATTCCGGTTTGACTGCAGACATAGCTGTCACATGAGTCTTGTCCCTCCTTTCATGCTACCTTCTGACTGTAGGCTTTGTGCTCACTCACGACAAGTGGGTGCTTGCTGCACATTTGCATATAACCTTTACTGCGACTGACGGGTTGATGTTTGTGTATCATAAAACTCATATGACCGGATACATAATGTCTACACATAAGGACCAAAACAGGTGAACCCATATTTGTAAATCGCTAAGCGTCACTGGGTTGGTTTCGTGGACCCACATATTAAATATTTTGTATTGTGTCAAAGATACATAGCAACAGTTATTATTCTCGTTTTGATGCATTGATGGTTAATGTCTTTAAGTATTTTCATTGTGACGTGACCTCCACGGTGGTATGCCAGCTGAACCACTGATTAAATCAAATAAATAGACACAAAGAATTCTTATACAAACACAACTGATCATTATGTTGTGGGTATCAATTGTGTGTTAATTTGAATTAAACTCGGGCGTGGGGCAAGCCTTTTACACATGAGTTTCCCGGGAACTTGTTCCATGGAAGACACAGCTCATAATATGATCATGACCTATTTTTTTCTATGGTCTTTAACATTGTTTTGGACGTAGTGCATATTTTCAATTACAAGTGTATTTATTGACGAATGTGGGACCACCTTGCTCTTTAGAATAGGCAAGCAGCGATAGCTCCTTGTTCGTTCCACCGATACTGTTACGCCATATACATTCATATACGAACATTAGTTATTTATTTTGAAAGCTGGCATTTTAATCCCACATTGACATAGTTGTGAACTGTTAAAGCAAGGGGGGGCAATTGAAAACCGATATTTACTACAAGCCGACGAACACGCATCCATACCTACAATTCAATTCACACACGTGTGATCAAATAAAATCTGGCGTTAAAATAACAGACGTTTGACATACAGTTTGACGTACATCATGATACGACCCCCTCCGTATTCTAGTTGTAGAGCGTCTGCCGGGAGAGAGGAAGGTCAGGGTTTGGTCACCAGTCGCGTCATACGTAACACAACGTTGACAGATTGTACTTGTTGTTACCCTGCCTGGCGCGCTATTCAGGGGCTAGAACAAGGACTGGTCGGCTCAGAGTCAGTTTTTTGTGTCTGAGTGGGATATTCATTATATAAAACAGCTCTGTGGCTCAGTGGGATTGCAGTATGAAATCGACATTAGTCCGAACTACACACACACACAGACACGCACACACACGCACACACACACACGCACGCACATGCCGTCCAAGACACACGCGCCCCTCCCCCCCAACACACACACACACACTAGTGCATGCACGTTGCTATATGGGTGCAACAATCTTGAACTCGACGTTCAATCCTATTCCACCTCACCTCACACCATGATATTGTTGACTGTGTAGTAAAACGTGGTTTTCTTCATCAGAAAGATGTTTACACTTAAACACACTATTTCATTGTCAGGAAGATTTAACATCCCCATATCCCAACATACATCACTCATTGACGCACATTTTCCGCAGGCAAACTGTGACATGTACGTTCCCAGAACGCAGGGGCATACATGTACGTGTGTCAGCCTCTCACATCTCACAGCTTCTTGTTGGACTTGATGATGGCTTGTTAAACCGTCGTTCACAATTCAATAAGCTTCTAGATGGATGAGTGCTCTTGGAACTCAAATATACATTCATATTCATACTATTGACTCCTACTTGGCGCAACGCATCATGCTCTCTCGGTACAACAAATAAAGTAAACAGATAATTAATTTAAAACACTCAAACATATTGATTTTTAGGATCGAATGCTCACAATTAATGAACGTATTTTTCATAGAAAAAAATAAGAAACAAATTGAAGGGACAACTTTATTAGCAGACAAAAAATGAAAAGTGTGTATGTTAAGGTATTTAAAACTATGACAAATGCGAATAAATAGACAAATACTAGTCAAGGGGTAATCTCATTACATATCTTTGCAATAACGAACAGTGATATAGTATTACAACCAATTTAACATTGATATAGGTTAGTCTCAAGTGTCATGGTGCATGCAGGATATTTCAAATTCCGAAGGAATTGAATCAGATGTCACGAGAGGATTCACAACAAGGGTTGCGTTACGCTGTGAGTCTTTTAGCTTAATCACGCAGGCCAATACCACTTTTGATCACTGCCCGGACATTGTGGGTCTCAACCAATGAAAATTCACATGTAATTTGTAAATGTAATAATTAAACATATTCAAATTCAGGCAATAATTATTGTCTGCTACACAGCGGATGTTTAGCCTTGATCTGACAAATATGATTGTACAATAAAAGCTACAACCCCTTTTCCATAATAATAATAATAAATCTGTTTCTGGCTATATTACAATCATGTGTTTATGAATCTATCAAACAGGAAAAGAATCACGAAAATGTGAGCATGTCTTGTCTCGCACATTGCTTTTGTCACTGATGCATCAAATGTGGTAATATCCCCCACATGTCTGACATTAAACTGTTTAACAGCTATACTTAGGCGCTAGATGATACAACCCTGATCAAATAGCATTTCAACGAGTAACAGTAGACAGGACAGGTTCGGCTGTCCCTCAAGAGTTGTAACATATTGACACCAAAGGCTGGTTTTACTTGTCCCTTTTACTTCGAGCTCTGGTGAAAGTTATATGGCGGTAAGCTATTTTCGGAAACGATTCAACTTCATCGGCACCGGCGCTCAAGGGACATGAGACAAGCTAAGGGTATGTATTCTGAGTAACGGTATAACCACTATGCTAACAGGGCAAATGGATGTTTTGCGTCAATCGCACATGACACCTTTGATAGAACTCGAGGCCTCAAAGGAGTTTGTAAAGAAATCATAACATGGTATTTACAGTTCAGCGGTGAAAATGAAGTGAACACAAAATACGTAATGAAATCATTGGAGTATACAATCGCGGCGAGCAAAGAAAAAATATATATACCTAAAACATATATATATACACATAATGAAACTGATTCAGGTAGTATCTTGGAACGAGGCAAGGTAACACAGCAAGTACCCTGTACTAGACAACAGTTGCCTCAGTAGAGCGGGTTTTCGAGTTTTGCTTCTGACATTCCATTTAGAAGTTACCGAATGCATCTGTTGAAAATGTCAACACTGTCAAGTCTGATGAAAATATGAAATTTACCAGTACGTATGTGGACCTATGCTGTCGGAAATGTTTCAAGTATATCGGTTGTTCAAATGGGTACACACATGTGATAGCTCTTCGGTGCTCTTCAGAACAGTTTAGGGGGAAAATTATCAAACCAGACAATCAATTATTGCACAAAACAAAGTCACCCAAACATATGGGATCCTCAGCAACCAGCAAACACGGTTTTAACCAAGGTTACATCATACTGTACTTACAAAGTATTGTAAGTGTAATTAGGCAGGAAAGGTGATTGATTCTCTCTAGTTGTTGTCTTCAGATGGTGAGATATATGTGACTACGGTTGTCGGATCATCAACAAACACACTCCTTACTAAGTGAGTGTATGAATGAGAACCACTAGTTGAGCTGCATGATGTATCACTACTATTGTCTCCAGATCCCAGTGTCACAGGAAAGTTATCAGCTAAAACAGGAAATACTGGATCACTTTTGTTGTCTTCAGTGTCCAGAGCCACAGGAAAGTAATCAGCCAACACAGGAAGTGCAGGATCATTACTGTTGTCTTCAGTGTCCAGAGGCCCGGGAAGGTAATCCGCCAACATAGGAAAATCAGGGTCGCTGTTGTTGTCTTCCTCAGAGGCTCCTTGTTGCTGACCTAGAGGCTGAGATACTTCATCGTAATCTTCTATATCCCAGTAGCGATGTAATGTGTAGTCTTCTGAAGGTTCTGCTTGCCTTGATCTCCCTGTATGTGTCGACTCATCAACTCGGTTGTCCCTGCAAATGTACACTTGAGTACTAACATAAACTACCACTATCATCTACTTCTACAATACCCGTGCAGATTCGGGTTAGAATTGATCATCAGCAACCCATGCTTGTCGTAAGAGGCGGGGTCGGGTGGTCAGGGTCAGTAGGATGTAAAATAATGGATTGCCTGACCCAGGCTCGATTAATAACAGTCCGCCGTCATATATAGCGGGAATATTGCTGAGTGCGGCCTCAAACAAGAAAACAAACACAGCTTCTACAAGTGACCATGTTGTTATAAGTACACATGTTACCTTAACTGCTTTTGTATTGTAGAATTGCGTTCATATTTATTTTTGGGGGTTATTCCTATTTCAATGTTTTTAATGTGAACTTTGGTACACCCGTACTCGATTCATAATATAAGCAACTGCTGAAAACACAATGATGACAATGAATCCTGTTAGACACAATCTGGTTCTATTACATATTAGCAGAGGTCATGTTTGACCCTATGGGAATAAACAAACCTGTTTTCTGAAACTCTCTTGCAGTAGAAAATGCAAACTGTTACACTAATTCCAAAGACAAAAGCCACCAATGCTGTTGATGTTCCAATTGTGCCTGCATTGATGGCACTCGGGCCTAAAACAAAAGATGAATAAAACGAAACACTTGTCAACACATGTATGAATGAAACTAACCAAATCTTGTCCCCCATTAGTTCAGCATTTGGTAGATGGATATGAATACATTAAGTAGAGCTGGCAAAATGTGCGCCTTGAACTTGTTTCACGATAATTGTGCTTTGTTGGTATGAATGCGACGTCCGATGTAAGAAAGGAAAACAGACCAGTAAGATATTTCCAATTAAACTCCAATTATGCTCACACCCTGCATATGTTTGAGTGAGTGAGTTTGGTTTAACGCCGCTTTTAACAGTATTCCAGCTATATCACGGCGTGTCAGCTTAATGTGGGAGGAAAGCCCGAAGTGATGCAGGTCTCAGACGTTTACCACATCGGTGAAACCCATGAGGAAGGGTATGGTGCTGACAAACCTAGAAACATAATCAGGGGGGAATCGGGACTGGAACCCACAATCATAGGTTTCTGGCGTGCCCAAGGGACGCAACTCAGCCAATTGCGGCGTCCTGCATATCTAGAAAATCTATTTTGTATTTATACATACATCTTGATTGTTCTAAACTCTAAGTATAAGGATTTATTTTTTTTAAACTTGAACAAAATGTAATATGCATACAAATTGAAACATTTTCTCTGTTTGATAACAATTGTATAATATTATTTAATCTCTTTTCTCACAATTTCGAGGTAAATACTATAAAAAAAATCACCTTGAAAAGACAATTAATGTCATGTCCTGTTTGATACATGCAAATCATATTTTGTATAGATAGATAGATACATTTTAAACCACTTCACCTTCGGAACATATCCCAGTTCTAGATTGACAGACGCCACCTTGACAGTGTATGCATGACTGTTCACAGAATTGTCCATATTGTCCTTGGATACACCCATTGTCACAAGTCCCGTTCTTCGGGTGACATGTGTGATTGAAGCAGGTCCCAGAACAAGGCTTACAGTCATCTCCATAGTAACCAGGAAAGCATCCTTCAACACAAGCACCTGTTTCATTGCAACCCATACAGTTTGAGTCACACTGAATTTGAGAGGAACAATTTGTACCAGACCGACCATGTACACAACCATTGATACACTCTCCACTATATCTTTGACATTCAGATATGCAGGCGCTGGAACTGTTACTTGCCACAGTGTTGATGGTCGGGTAAACCAGACAGTTTTCACTACATCTCATGGAACATTTAGATCCATACATTCCAGGTGGGCATGTCTGTACACAATCAGTTGTTGAACAATGTTCACATGAATATTCACAGTCCAGGCCGTGATATGGATCATGACACGCATCGCATGTGCCTGTTATCCTGTTACAATGTTGACATCTGCTTGAACAAGTCTTGCAGTTGGACCCATAGTATAAGTCATGGCATCCAGAAACACAAGATGACGTAAGATGGCAGAATGTTCCATCACATCCTTGAGGACATCTTGTACAGTCTCCCCTCGGACGTGGACATGGGATATTGCATTGGGTACCATAGAAACCAGGAACACAACCGTCAGAGCACTTGGGAATGCTTTTTCCTCTTTGACTACATTCATGTTTTTTGCAATTCTTGCTGCAAGGCGATTTGCATTTAAGGTCGAAATATCCAGGAAAGCAATCTGTGATACAATATCCTGAAGTACTGGAACAGTTTGAACAATGCTGCTCCTCCGAACATTTTTCCGCTGTAAAATGTAATAGATTTATTACTTTAATGACATTGTACATACTTGCACAAAAAAACAAAAAAATCAACTTTCAACATTTTAGTAATGTTTTAGACAGAAATAACTCGCCGAAATGATTTGCAGATAAATAAAGATTCAATAAATAGCTTTGAATGAGTTTTGTCGTCACAGCAATACGGAACGAACACAATGGAAATCGGGATTGTAATGTTAATGTCAGGAGCAGGGTACAAGCACTTTGACATATTGGTTGCAAGCAGGTCTTCAATGAGGGAACTATTTAGTCAACAGGCGAACCGAGCTTAGTTGAGCAGCCACGAGTGGACTAGGCAATCGATGACCATTCAGTACAGAAGAAACATGAAGACAGCAAACATTCCAAAGACAAGTGACTTTTAAATGCAACCAACTATGTCGTCGGTTGCAAATTTGATGCGTGAGAACATCGTAACCGACCGAATTGACAGAAGTGTGAACAGTTTTCCTACTGAAGAAAGACAAAGTTCTAACACATGCATTAAAGCGATCTTAGCTGAATTGAACGTAAAAAACGGTCACAGGGCGTTAAGCCATCAGCATATAGTACAAATTACATGAATTGTGTTTAATGCAGCAAATTACAAATTGAATATAAATTAAAAGAATACCTTGTGCAGACAAAAACATCAGTGCTACACTAAGAGTAACGTGAAGGTCCATTTCTGGCCTGAAATGAATATGAAACAGACATTAAATGTAACCTAATTATCCTCCTTTTCCATGATTTAAGTTAGCAGTTAGGTGATAATGACAATAATAAATGTTTGATGGGTGTTGTTCAAATACAAAACGTACCTGTCTACTAAGATAAACTTTACTTGTAGGATCAGCAACGAGAGGATTAGCCTAATGTAAACACGTGTCCGATGTTGCAAGCAACATTGAGCTCTCACGCTAAGAAAAGATCTGAGTATATTTATACTGTTTTGGTAAGGTTTCAACTTCCCATACGAAAGCTCAAACCGTTCAACTGACTGACGTTGATGTCAAGGAAATCATTCCAACATTAAACCTTGGAGTTGTTCCCCATTTGCTTGAGTTGCCCAGTCGTCCAAGGCGCTGAATGTGGTGTGCAGAGTTAGTGTCCATTAGGCGTGCCAGAAACCAACATGTATGATCAGTAGTTCTGATCCCGCTTCGCCTGATTTTTTTCTAGTTTAATCATCACCATACCTGTGATTATGGGTTTCATTTAAGGGGAAAATGCCTAAGACCTGCATGACTTCGGGATTTCCTTCCAAATAAATCTGACACGGCATGATATGTGTATCATACCGTTCAGTATGATGCCACGTTGTTGTACACTTGTAGGAGATAGAGTTTCTAATATCATATGTTATTATATTCTATAAATGACTCTGGTGTAGACATTGCAGTTTTCACATCGGTAAAAGTCCACACGACCTTTAGAAATAAATTTAGGGCTTGTCTGTATTCTTTGCTTTATGACCGTACTGTATATTTACTCGACCCTATACATAGGGGATTGTAGATCGTTCACGTATGTGTTTGTGAGATACTCGCCTTTCTGTCATGAAGTGAAACTTTCTTCAATTTTGTGTGAATACAGTTGGTGGTTACATAACTTGAGAGTTATACCCTAACGTTATCCACAACGGAATTGCATTGCATATCTTTTGTGGGGAATGTAAATCAGTTCTCGGTTCTAACGGGTGCTTTATCTCCTTGTTTGGCAAGAAGTATAATTTATTCATCAAACCAACTGTGAACATAGTGACAACACACCATGAAACACTGTTTTCGTCTTCATGTTGCTATATAGGAACATTGTTGCGATAAACAAAAAGAAAACAAACAGACAGAGAAACACAAGCAGATGGATCTCACCACATGGGCAGCTGTCAATACGTTTCCATTCAGCATACAGTCCAACCACTACAGATACTTGAATACATGCATATTTCCTATCACAGCTTAACAATATGCATCACCGAGGAAACATACTTGAGTTGATTGCCCTGCTTACTATCGTGTTTTGTTGCCAACACAACATATTATATTGGAAATAATGGAATTTCTGTTATAGTTTGGATAAAATGCACGGTCAGTCGTTGTATAAATGTGACATGAGTTGCATAGACTGATCCATCTGCACCTAGTGTTATGAAATCATCAGATTCAACAAAGCATGTATGGCATATTAAAATGGTTTGCATGTTTCATTATCTATATCTCATTGCTAAAACATAAAGTTGGAATACTTAATTAATAGGGAATAGGGAAATAAATAGTGTAAGTCCTGGACATGATGCAGGCTGTAGTTGTTGTTCAACATGTTCCTATCCAAAACGACCAAATTATCATTTTGTATATTTCTGTGGTCCAGGATTTATGGCAAATTTATGCGACTGGTTAAGAAACTGGTAGAATATCCGACATTAGAATTGTTACTCTATAACCTGTAAGATTTATCCAATTCGCCAAGAATATCGACTGTTCTGGCTCATTTAACGTTTGCATTCAAACACTCACCCGACTCTATATATGGACAAAACTCTATGACGTACTAATAGTATCTTGTTTTTACTAACATGTGAGATCTAGTTTGTTGTTCACCAAACAAACGCCGAAGTAAAGTATGCATCAACAACATGTGGGGTAGTATTGCCGTGTTTCACATTCCTCTTACTCTCATGAGTTTTACTGTGTCCTCATATTGCGGATGTAATGACTAATAGTCAAATGTGTATGAGTCAGACACTCGTCCTACATACAAATTCATCTTATTGTTCTATGCAAAACGAAGCTACAGATACTACCTTGCTACTATTTGACTCTACTTTGCTCAATGTGTGTTCATCATATGAACATATTTCTTTCTAAAATGCCTGTCCATCTACATTACTGTGAAGGGTTTACCTTATGTCATATGACACTTCTTTATGTTCAGGGACATACGAAGGGTACTAAGAGTAGTCCATACAACCAGAATGACAAATCGAGTGCAGCACCACGTTGAATGTTTAATGTTTTGGAAAGAATATGATTTTCCTATAGCAATAACCTTCCGATAAACATTTCAAACTCACCCTATTACATAAATATAAAAGTTTGAATGCATATATGCAACTAAACAAAAGCGACAAAACCGTTTCCATAATCATCAAGTCCATTTTACAATTTTGATCATAAGAATGTATTTATGGATCACTATCAATTAGTGTTGAGAACAGGTGTTCATGTAAAGATGATCGTACCCTGCACCGTTGATGGCAGCCGTCAAAGTCTCATGCAAAGCTTGCCACAACAGGGGAACATATGGTAAATTTCGAAATAGGGGAATAATGATACGTTGATAATGGTTAGGAAATAATGTAATCCGCGGATGCGGTATAATGCATTAATATGTAATTTTGAACAGGTATTTTACTTTGATATTTTATTTCAATGTGTGAACACTGACCCCAAATATGTAATGTATTCTTTTTGCGTCCTTGTTCGGAATAACAGGTCTAAATCTAACTGCAGTCTGCATACAGCTTGTGTGGAAGTGAGATACTTTCATTGGTTACGCTTTTGCTGAGTTTGTTGACAATTTACTGTACAGATACAACAACGACCTAAAATATCCTGATAGTCTAATCCCGACTTGCATTGAGTAGGATGATAGTAGATGCAGATAAAATAAAGATCTGTAAGAAATATCACTCTGTATTGATATGTGCCAGTGCCAGTAAATGACAGCAGCTGGCTGACATTGTTGTTTAAAACAGGTCATTTTATAGCACCAACACCGTAATGTTTGTACACTACTGACATCGAACGACACCGTGCGCACTACTCAATTGCTCAATGTACCATATGTTGCTACAAGTTACGTAACGATATAAAGAAAAGATATTCCAACGAAATCTTTGATGCGTTGAAAGGAATCTTAAAATACCATACGCGGAAATAAAAGATGCTTTGTAGAAGAGTTTATTTGATTTGATATGACTCAATAAATTATTAATTGAGAAACAAACACCTTAATTGGAAATATTTCACCTCACAAATTAATTGTGTAATCTGACAAATGTGAAGATTCTTTGTAGCTGGAGGGAAGGATGGTTGGCCTTAACATGATTGTGGACATAGCGTTCATAATTCCCGTCGGGGCGGTCAGGTAACCTAGTGGCTAAAGCGTTCGCTCGTCACGTCTAAGACCCGGGTTCGATTCCCGACATGGATACTATGTGTAAAGCCAGTCTCTGGCCTCCCCCGCCATGTTAATGCTAGAATTCTAAAAACGGCGTAAAGCTATAATCACACACTCATATTCCCGTCACTGCTACTAATAATAAACCTGACTGTTCCATCACATTGAGGATCATTATATTATAGAGAGGCGGCTAATATCATGCTTGCCCTTTTCACGAACAAATGGTGTCATCACTGATTTTCTGCGATCCACTCGTATGCTTTTCGCCTTTATTTTGCCTTTTGCCCCCGGTGAAATCTGTTTTGTCGGATGGTCGAGGCTTTAATACATCGTGTGTTTATGTGTTCAGGGAAAATTTAAAATTTAAATTAACATAACATTTATAGAAGGAAGAACATACGTCAGCTGACACCTTTGAATAATTCATAACTCACAAGTGTGTAATGTATTCTAATTAAGTTTGGTTTAATGTTCAATTTCAATTTCCTGAACTTCCGATAAATCTTGGATATTTCATAAAAAGATTTATATTTGATGACAAGTAAATGTATTAATTTATCAAACGATGTGTCAAATCGGTTTACATCAATTAAGCAAAGGAGGATAAAAGTACAATTCACAGCACTGATTTATGACGAGTACGTTAGAATTGATCCCTCCAACATTATTTTGATATTTCTTTTCATCTTATTGACAATTACACTAACAAAATAACACAGTTTACTGTAATGGGCCAAAGAATAGGACTTAGTATCAATGTCAATGTTGGTTTTATTAATGGATGTTTACTGCTGGACGGTACAGAAATGAGTGTCAACCAAGCGAAGGGCCATATCAAGCCGGCACAGGCTCGATTTCTCAAGACAAGGCTCTCTGAACGACCACTGCATCGAGATGATATTCAGTGTTTTGAAAAGACCAGTAACCCTGCAGCGTCCTTCGCTTGGATGAACTCGGCACAAACTGAAGAGTGTTTCTATTTGCTACTCATGACCAGTCACTTCCCACTCGAAACCGTCAATGTGTGAGTTTGCATCAAAATGTAAATATGAAATGTAGATTGTGAATGTCAGTGAATGCCCATCTGTGACATAAACACGGCATAGGAAGCGACATGATGGCGTGGCTCGACCCTTTCATTACAGTCTTCGCCATGCTTGTGGTTTTAACACAGAGGTCCGTCCATGGCACGACCAGTAATATGTAGAGGGTGTCATGGGAAAATGATAATCATATAATTCTTTGGTATAGGCCCGTATACAGCCTCACATGTATCCAGTGAAATACAGGTGACCTTGTTTTTATGTATAAATACACTGAAATTACTTATATTATAACATTCTCTGTTCCTTTTGACACTAATGTCATTGGCATGATTAAGGAAAACATGTCAAGTATGTGGACCTCTTTTATGAAATGTCACGCTTGTATCCCAGTATGAAGTTGTCCGGCCCCCTATTGTTCTCTGTACATAAGGTTTAGTACCTTCCCAATTTGG